CATATACGTATACATTTTCTTAAATGTTTCTGTGATGGTACGTAACACAGCCAAGTTTAATACTTGTGTGTTGCAGAATATGTTCTCTCCTTGTAGAAACAAGAGAACTGCAAGAATTTTAAAATCAGAATTCTGATGATGGATATTGTGATTTGCATACAATCAGTAATGAAACCCTGGGCAAAATTCTATCGATGCCTTGCCTGTTTTCTCAGCTCCATTATTTTTGCTTTGATACAAAGTATTCTAAGATTTATTTAGTCACAAAATGTACCATAGTTATTTTTCACAGTAAGTCACATTGTAGAGCTGAGAAGAGTAAAACCAGACATTGCTCACATTAACGAAAATACTCTCAAGAATATTAGAGTAATTTGGTTCATATTTTTGTAAGGTGAAAATTCAGCTCAAAAATCTACATGCTCAAACTTCTTGTGATATATCCTGTACAAGCCTGTACTGAGGCCACCAAAAACTCAATGATTGTTGCTTAAAATAGATCTTGTTGGAAAGAAAAAACAACAAAGTTTTCAGCAAAACAATTTATGTTTGATGCAAATGAAAGAATGTGATTTAGCTCTTAATTGAGATGGAAATAATTAAGTATTGAGCTAGAATTAGAGCAATTTAAGATTCAGGAAATGTGATTGCAGTGCACATGAGAAATAGCTTAAGAAACCATCTCATTGTTGAGATGGATATAAAATACACTGCAAATAAACTACTTTCTTAAAAACAGCCTCAGGCATCTTTCACCATGAATCAAAACATATCAGAAAATGTAGAATAGAATTGTGATCAAAGAATAACTCTAAGTTGCATGAGTAGCAGAGCATTCAAAATCAAATAAAGGCATTCCATATTTTATACTTTGTCCAATGAACAAAAAATATTTCCTTCAACACCTCAAAAATTTGCATAAGTAGTACCATCTGCTTGTTTGGAAAAGGTTGTCAATTAACATGGTTTCAAGTAATATACTTGTTTATTATACATTATATTACTCACATCAATACACAAAGGATCTGAAGGCTCTATACTCTGCCATTGTTCTACGGCCAGTTCATTTAATGTACATGGGTAGATTTTGATGTTACTAAGAGCTGTTCACTAATTTAGGAAATAAAGTCCTTCACGATTTAGTTCAAGAACTAACACAAAACCACACAGAACTTATTTCAGGACATTTAAATCAAAATTGAATTTACCTATCTTACGTATTTCCACGACAACAACAAAAAAAAAAACACTAATGGTTCTCTAAAGCTAAAGGAATTAAATTTCTGCCTAATGTCCAACTCCCAAGCGACATAGATACCTTAACTGCAACATTTTTACCTCTCCAGTACGGAGTTCAACCACACCTTCTTGATTGTCGATCGACAACAGTCGCCCCATCGATTCTCTGTCTTCTCCGAGAATGACTTTAATGGAATCATCCTGCTGGGGCACCACAGGCTCCAGGTGCTCTTGCAAAATGTTTACAGTTCGATCCTCATCTGGTAAGAACACAGCACACTGACCACCCTAAAAGCAGAAACAGAAAAGTTAATGCCAACCATACTAGCAAGAGGACATTTTATTGCTAAGAGGCAAAAGCTACACTTACAGAAATGCCTCTGATCACGCCAGTTTGACCACACAGGCCAGCATCGTCGTGAGTGTCACGAATTCGAACTTCGATGTCAGTAGTAACCCACTCCTGCAGAGGTGGCTGTTCCACTGGACCGCCCGGCGTGTACGGGGCGTAGGGAGAGGCGGCGCCGCTCGGGGTCATAGGACTGTAGCCGCCAATGGGCGATGGTGTGCCATAAGGATTCCCTGCCGATGGCGAGGGGGTATATCCAGACGGACTAGGTGTTGCTCCATATGTAGAACCAGAGCCTAAAGACAACAAACCATTCAGAGTAAATAGAGGTGAAATACACATTCTTGAACTAATACAGGTACTTTCAATCTCACATTTAAATCAAAAATAAAATAAAATCTATGAAGTACCTTGATATCCTGTTGGAGAGGGCTGGAAGGGAGAAGGAGAATATGACTGTTCTGAACCTGATCCATACATGGTTCCAGGTGTTTGAGGAGTGTACGGGCCACCAGCCTGATAGCTTGGTGTGTCTGAAACGAATTTGTATGTTATGTTGCAATCGAACTCCAATTAAGAAAATAGCATACTACAGGAGTAACTACTTACTGGGATTGTAACCAGGAGATGGGGAAGCCTCATCCAATGAATAAGTATCTAGATCACTGGAGCGGTGAGCCGGTGTATTTGTGATGGTAGGATCCCAAGCTCCAGTCTGACCAGGAGTACGAGAACCATCGTGAGAGGGTGTCATACTGCTGTAATGAGGCGTCCTGTTGCCAACTGCAAAGAAAAAGGTACATTGTGTCTGAGAACAGTAAAGAAATGTTGGCACAACAACAACAAAATGTAGAAAAAGAGGTGCACTTACCTTCGTACATGGGAGTCTGTGAACCATGAAGAGGAGTTTTGTTGCCTTCGCGGTACATAGGGGTTTGTCCAGAGCCCCATGATGGAGTACGTGCGTATGTAGAGAATGATCCATCCTAAAAGAATAAAGATGGATAAATAAACATAGATAGATATGATATCATAACACTAAAACAAAATCTATGAAACAAAACTTAATGCAGACAGAGCAACTCAGCAAAAAAATCAATAGATTTAATAAAATATTGGAGGGAATATATACTTTTGATGGTACTCCGACAGCAGCAATGTGGGAACGATCAACTGATATGGTTTGGCATGATGAATGCAGCTCAACACGTGCAGTAACTTCTGTGGCATCCTTAACCATACCAACATTGCCTGAAAAGAGAGAACTTGTTTGACTAAAAGGGAGCACATAAATAATAATGACTCACTAAAAACAAGGAAAAACTAGTAAGCTAGGGGATGATAACAAAGTTGCCAAGTACCTTTGAAAGGTCCTCCCGTGATCTTGATGGTGGAACCGATGAGGTCTCTGTCACGTCGGACATTATGACCACCCCTGCCTCCACCTCGGCCGCCGCCTCGCGATGGTGTCTGACCGCCCCGTCCACCACCGGGATGCATTGGTGATGAGATCCGTGGAGACGATATAACACCATAGTTTGTGGCTCCCATGGCTGTTCCCATTCCAGAAATGTTCTGCAAAGGTGATACAAATATTTACAGTTAACATCTACAAACTGCAATCTAAAATCACTTAAAACCTTGAATATCAAGTGACTTACCTTACTACCACCAGCTAACAACAAGTGCCTTGCTTTGCACACAAAGATACCTCCATTGTCAAGGTATGTTCGGGAGTGTAGAAAAGCAAAATTTCGGTAGATGTGTTTGATTTCGCCATCATGTCCCTAAAATACAGTCAATAGAACTGGTGTAAGAGTCTATAATAGACCATGATAGATGAAAAACGGAAAAGTACTAACCAAATGAGGCCCATCAATAACTTTAACTATGTCTTTTCGATGAATAGGATTATGCTCCGAGTCCAGGGCTGCTGCAAACCTGGCTTCTTTCCGCTTATGAAGAGCCTGAGGCTTAGCCTCCACCACTTTCCCTTGCATACTAAGTACATGGAAGTTCTCTCGTTCCAGACGAACAATTACACCAACTGTTTGAGCACTATGCAAAATAATACAAAAATATGTTAGGGTAATAATTCTTTCACATTCTAATACATCAACAACAAAATCTTGGATCTGAGACCGATAGTAATATATTTACTCACTCAAGCATAACCATGTCACCCCATTGGAACTGACCCATACTATCAACACCTGTCGCCCTATCTGAGCAAAGTTGCAAGTCACGAGGTAAAACTTCTAATTCGTGCATAGTGAGATCAGAGAAGAGAACAACTCGATTTTCTTCAACACGAACAATCAAGCCTGTATCACCCTCGTATCTTCCACCGAGCACTTTTACATGGTCTCCTTGTCGGAAGTATTTACGCAATTCTGATGCTTGAAACTCGAGTGGGTCCTAAGATTAAGTATGAAAAAAAATTAGTAGCAGAAAGTAAAAGATCTCTGCAGTAATTAGGTTGGGTTATATGAGGCAATACTTACGGTGAGGTCTTCATGCTTGGGCATGACAATTATCATATTGCCATCAATAGACACAATTTTACCTTGCAAATGCATCAATTCTCCTTCACACACTTCTACATTATCCCCAGCTGAGAATTGATGAGTAACAGCTTCATCTTTCCCAGCAGCGCCAGATGGCACTTCAATGTCAACACCTTCAGGAGCTTCTTCAAATCGCTCTAGTTCCGATAGAGTGGGTTTTACTCCTGTTAAAAATAATGACTTTCATAAGTATGAGTGCTGAGTGAGAGATAGATAATAAAAGCTGTATTTAATAAAATAATCATGGCACATACCTTCCGAAATAATGGCACTCATAATGAAATTTTTGTACAAGAAACCCTTTCTGGAATATCTATTTCCCTCAAATATGAGGAAGTCACCATCACTTGTCACTTCTCCTCCAATTGCACGAATAGCTTCGGGGTCAAATGGTTTGGCAGCAGGCCGCTTTTTTTTCTTCTTCTTGTCATTATCAACTTGTGTAGTCCGTAAGGCACCACGGAGACGGGTGTAGTCAATACGAGGGAGTAGTTTCAAATGAACCTGGTTCTGCGCTATGTCAACATAATCTACTTGAGCAATGTCATCTCTGTATAGACCTCTTTTGAGGCGTACCCACTGCTTAGGGCGCAAACCTGTCTGCTCTTTAGCAACTCGTAAAACATCTGTCATTTCTTTGATTGGAACCATTTGTTGCTTCCATATACCCATTCGCAAATTGCTAACATTTGTGATAGCAGCTTTCACATGAGGTTGTTTGTATGCTTCTATATACACATACCCTTTTACTCCTTCAGGGGCAACAACAGACTTAATTTGCAATGGCTCATTGGTGAATTGGTAAGTGATCCACTTCCGCATCAAAAGCAAAGCAGTATTTTTCTCTTCCCCCATTCTGCACTTTACCATCCACAAGTTGGGATCCCTGCAAATAAATATGATGTATATGAAATCAAATACAGTAAACAATGGCCAAACAAATAATTTTGCTAAACAAAATTTGAATCAAACTTACTTGACACCAGGAAGAAGGGTTTGCTGTGTGATTTCATCAGACATTTCTGCTCCACCATCACCAAAATGTACAGCAGCAACTGATTCATCTGCATACTTCTTCCTCAAGTATTCTTCAATTTCATCTTCTCTCTGAGAACTGAAAATTAAAAATCAGAATTAAAAGAATCAAAACTATTGAAAGAAGACTTTCAGATGAATCGGGAAATGCTGTACATACTCCCAAAGATTAGTTCTTCGTCTCCTCCCTTCAATGTCTTGAGCAGTGGGTCCCAATTCATCCACTTCATTACCAACAATACCAATTTCCTGGGCACCATCTTCCCATTCATCTTCATCTTCCACTTCATCATCAACCTCAGCCTCATCAATAATAAAACCACCAAAGCGGTCATTTTTCTTTTTCTTGCGTGGACGGTCATCTTCTTCTTCATCTTCCTCTTCATCATATTCCTGTGCAACAAGAACATATCATATCAATAATAAAACTTAGAGTAACACACAGCATTTGAAGAATGAAGAATGTACTCACATCAGATCCAAGGTCTTCTCCTTCAGGTTCCTGCTCATCTTCAACTTCTTCTTCTCTGCCCTCTTCTGCTTCTGACCCAGATCTAGAGCGAGATCTATGGAACATAAGTCACCATTAAATTAAGGGTTTTTTGAAGTTGTAGAAATATTATATCATGAGACAGTCAAGCTTACCTCCTTTTACGTTTTACTGGACGTACATCCGATCTGCAAAATATGGAGCAGTTCTTTAGTTGTTTGATTTTAATTTGGCAAAATGACACAGCTTACAGTAAAGGGGTATGAGGTTATAAACTCACCCATCCGACCCAGCCGGAGACCCACTTCTAGATCTAGACGAAGCACGAGATCCTGACCGACTTCTAGATCTTGATCTAGACCTGGACCTAGAAGGTGAACGGCTTCCAGACCTCGATCTAGACCTGGACCTGCAAGCAATATCAGTTTACATAAATTGTTGATGTTGAGCTTATGACAACTAAATGCTAGTGCATACATACCTGACTGAACCTCTTTCGTCATCACTCCCTTTATTGCTACCGGAATAATTACTTTCTGAGTCAGACATTATGACCTAGGTAGGCTGTCACTGCAAAGAAACATATTGTCATTAGTAGTGACAACCATGAGAGCGGCTCCTAAGATTGACCCATCTCAAACTGAGTTCTATAAAACCTAGAGCAGGTACCAATGTTCCATTTACTGCAAAATACGGTCTAAAATAGAAGAAATTTTAGAGGGAAGAGGTAAAAATAATAATGTAGTGGCTGCATATAACCTCAACAGAGCCGGGAGTGACGACTTAAGGAATGAATATGTGTGCCTTGTACACAGAATAAACGACACTGACATAACAGAGATAGATCAAGCTACGGAGTCCAAGCACAAATCCTTTCCAATGCTATTAAATGAACTTAAACATTTGAATAAAAACAAACCGAATTCCTCACCTGCTGACGCGATAATGGCGACATTGAAGTGATACCTACTTTCTAAAACTGAATAAATATTTTTAATCTAGTTTCACGTACCGAAAGTCAAAAAATACACAATAAATCCATTTATCGTTGCTGAAAAAGTACAGAAAAGTACTAATAATTATTTTCAAAACAGAACGGTCAGTTTAGTTTGGCTGAAAATACTTCGATAAGGTTGGCAAACGTCAAAGCCTTCTATTAAGGACTGGCTGTTAATTTAGCGAAACCCAATAAATCTGCAATTTGGCAACACCGCTACTCCTCTCGGCTCGGCTCTCGGATCATTGGCCATTGCGTTTTGCCGCACTGCATCGTCTTTTCTTTCGCCTTCTCGCGGTCCGTCCTCAGTTGCCTTTTGTGATTCCTTGAACGAACGCCACCAGGATGCAGCAGGTCCCTTGCCGTGATGGACCAACGCGTTGTCGTTGGCGCATCTTGCTGCTTTGGTACTGCATCCTCCCCTCGTAAGAAGGGTCTGTAGGTTTGGGGCAAGTAGGGGACAATCCGGACAGGTCCCATCGATCTGATGGATGGCCCTGTGTACCCGTTACCCGCTGTAAGTGACACCTTTCGGTCTTCAGAGGCCCTGCCGAACGGTGCTGTTCCACGGTGCCTCATGTCGTGCATGATTTTCATCGGCAGTTCATCCCATTGGGTGCTCGTGTAGGTCACTTTCAGCCCCAGCTTGCGCTGCCCTATTCTTTTCTTTGGCACAGGCCGAGGACCGGGTTGAAGTATGTAGCTAGCGAGAGGCTCGCACCGCGCCGAATTTTCTCGCTATAGTTCTGGTTTTCCGTAATTCTCCTCTACATGCCCACCTGCCTGTTTGGCATCGTTAGACTCCATCGGTCGGGTTTCTCTAACCTACCGCGTCTTGAGTGTACTGATCACCCGGCATGGCTCTGTTCTGATGGACCGACTAGTTTTGGTACTAAAGACGATTTCCAGGCTACATTGTTTCTTTTTAATCTCGAAAAATCCAACCTCTTGATTTGTTAACCCCCAACTCCACATCCCTTTTTTGTTTACAGCGGGTGCTGTTCTGTTCTATCATGCTAATGTATTGCGACCCCCCCTACCTTTGTATGCATGCATATGTTGAAGTGAATATTTTTAGCATTTGTGCTCCTCTGGTTTTGTGTTTATGTCATTGACTTTACAGACACATTCTTCAGATACTGAAGAAAGCCTTAAACCGTTGGGAATGGTCTGCATGCTGATGACCACTATGATAATTGAATTAGTGGTAACAAGCTTGCGGGCCATACCTTTCTGTGTTTCAGTGAGGCTTGCATCATATCCTCAATCAACTCCTCATGATTGTCCTGGATGTCATCAAGAAGTTTATTTGCAAAATATGCCCCAGGGCTTTCTGGTTAGCCTGTAAGCTATGTTTCCACTGTTTTTATATACTAGTGGTAACTACCTTGCGGGCTAGCCAGGTGGCTGCAGCATTTTAAGCAACTTCTGTGGGCTTGAGAATGTGTTGCGTGTGGGATGGCCAGTAAGTTAGAGCCCTCTTGTTTAGATGAAGTTGGAGGTAACTAACTTGCAGGCCAAGCCACAAGTGACAAAGGAGAAGGAAGACTGAGAATTGTCAACACCATGAAGGGACTAACATTAACTTTATTTTAGATGCATACGCTTATAATACTTGCAATATTTTTTGTCATTGTTTCATCTGTTGGTGTAATGTAAATTTTTTACCTTTCCAATTGATTTCTTTTTGGTATCTGAACTTCAAATCTTAGGATCAGTTGGTTGCAGCTTTACAAGTGATTCAGAGGCCTCCCAGCATTTTTTGGCACTGTCCATGTCTGACGCTCCTCTTGAAAGAGAGTGCTCCTGGAAATAAAAAACATACCCATTAGATACAGAGGTTTATTTTTTATCTAAGTTTTAATTGATTGGTGAGGATTTTTTAAATGCTTACTTTGCAGTCCATGAAATATTTGCCGGAGATTCCTTCTACCTCCTCTGAACAAGCCAAGTACAAGGTTGTCTGAGCACCTTGTTGAGGAGTCTGTTAAACACAAATTTCATTAGGACTCTGGCATGTTAGACTATACAGGAACTTACTAGAAAACTTATGATAGTATCCTACTTTAAAACAAGTTTTGCAGATTAGCTTCATAGGAAGATTCAGAGGGAATGGAACGTTTCTCCATATTCCACTGTCAATCATTCCAGGGTGCAAGCAGTTTGCTGTTACCCCAGTGCCTTCCAAGCGCCTGGCCAATTCATTAGTAAAAAGAATATTGGCATATTTGGATACGTAGTACAAGTAAGCTGGTAACTTGCGAGTTGGGTTCATATTATTAAAATCTACACTTGCAAATTTGTAGAGCTCTGATGCCACAACTACAATTCTGCTTGGTTTAGATTTCTTAAGAAGATCTGTAATAGAAAAGTCCATTATTTCTAGTGTAATTTTTTTTTTTTTTAGAGGGAATTAAAAAAATTATCTACTTGCCAATTAGCAAATGTGTCAAGAGGAAAGGGCCATAGTGATTAGTGGCCATTGTGATTTCAATTCCATCAGGTGATGTTTTTCGACCAAAAGTATTAGCCATGCCTGCGTTGTGAACTAAAACATCCAACCTTGGCTCTGTCTTGATAATCTCTGCTGCAAATTCTCTAATAGACTCAAAAGAACCTAGATCTAATTTTTGGACTATCACGGACTGGTTGTTGGTCTCCTTGATGATTTCGTCTGTCGAAAGAAAACATTTTGAATAGTATTTAGTGCCTCCTGACCAGGGCAAAGTTTGTGGAATTTGTCCCACCTCTGGCCTTGTTAGCTGTCTCCAGGGTTCTGCATGCCATGATGACCTTGGCGCCCTTCCGGGCCAGCTCTGTAGCCGTGATCCGGCCGATGCCTGAAACAGGTGCAGTGCAATTGATGCGACTTGAACATGACTGCCTTGGATGCGGGGCGGGACGCGCTCGCTGATGATTTGGCGATGGCTGTTGCAGCTTGGCTGCATTGCCAAGGCTACTCGGGCCTCGCCTTGAAAGGTGCGTCGACCCTGCACGGCAGCCTGGGAGAAGGGCGCCCTGGAGGCTCGGCGGACCTCCCCTCCCCTCCCCGCCGGCTGGTCGGCCTGCCAGCATTGGCCGCAGCATGCCTCCTCTTCCCTTTCCCTCCCCGCGGACGGACGTGGAAGCGCGCGTTGCAACGTGGCATGGGAAAAAAGAAGGGTTGAGGAGGGGGGGGGGGGTCATAAAATCATGAGCTGCTGTGAGCGAACTCGTACTGGCAGCGCCGCTCCTGAGAGGTACGCTGCTCGCCGTGCACCGCCGGGGCTGGAGGCGCGGCTGGAGCGACTCTGGAGGCAGGGCAGGCCTAAAGGCAGGCCGCATCGCTGGAATGCTATCGCTGAAGAGCCAGTTGGACGGCACTTCCTTGTCGAGGAGGTTCTGCTCAGTCTTCGGACCCCGTTAGTCCAGGATCTCACCAGTAATTTTTTTTAGCGACAGGCAAGTCGGGGGTTTGGGGGGGGGGGCTGATTATGGTTAATCCGCCGCGGTTTCCGAAAATAACTAGAAGGCAACCAAACAGAGTTGGCTGGAGAGGTCAAGGTCTCTCCAGCTCCAGGCTCACGCACGGGCGGCGGTAGGGACGGATCCTGTAGCGTACCAGCGCGGTGCTGGACCAGTCTCAGTCGTGGCCCGAGGATCGCTGGCGCAGGCCCAGCGCCACGTTCTCTGTCCATGTCACGTCCTCGGTCTCTTTGGGCCCCAGTCCCTCCGACTACTACGCAATGCTTGCAACTTAACCGACAGTTTGTCGTAGAGTGTAATCGAACCAGAGTATTTGTTAAAAGCTCGTCGGGGAAGGCCATGGAGAAGTGGGATAGGTAGGATCTGATGTGATATGCAAACTTAAATGCACGGTAGCGAGAGGTTCTCTCATCAGGGTCGCGCACTTGTCTAGTCCAGTCGCTAATGACCCTGTCTTGAAGAGCTTAGAGCCTTTGCGTGATGCGTCTACGTTGCACTCATTTTGCAGTTATGCGAATACTTGGAAATATGAACAGTTCAAAGCGAAACGCAGTTGGAGAAAGGGAGGAAAATAAGTTTACTGCTCGTTTACATCGTAAGGGGATCTCACTTATTCCCACCGGAATCAATTTAGAGCCCCGCAACGAGCGAGCTACGCGAGCTAGACCCCTTCTTCGGCGGGTGAGAGGGGGGTCGGGTTAGGCATTTAGCTCGCGTAGCTCGCTCGTTGCGGGGCTCTAAACCAATTCATTGACAGCAGCAACTTTGAATGGGGGTTCAAAGGGTTGTCACACAAGTCCCGGCCCCGTTGTCACCCCTGTCGCCCGGAAGGGATTGTGAGCGTGTCGGTACGTACCGGAGTTGGCGCCGGTGACAATGACGGTCTTGCCCTCCATCCTCTCCTTGCCGCGGTAGACTCCGAGCGTGAGGAAGCAGTACAGGTTGACGAGGGCCAGCAGAGCGAGCGCGCCGCACACCAGCGCTGCGGCGGCCAGGGCCAGAAGCTGCGGCCCCACCTCCAGCATTCCAGTCTCTGGAACAGAACAGACAACGAGCGCAAGGCGTCAGGCGAGCCGGCGCCTGGCGGGTAGGCAGCACAACTCGCACTCCCGAGCGCGGGGCTGCCGCCCGGAGGTCCTGGAGGCCTGGAGGCGCCTGGAGGTCTTCCCGCTGAGGGTCGCTGCTCGACAGGGGATGTTGCCATACCTGGATATGTTCGAAAATGGTCTGATGCTCGATGCGTTGCGATTGGGGGCGACCGCTTTCGCGCACTGGCGGGCAGGACCGGCGGCGCTTGTTGTCACCAGATCGTAGAGATGCGCCTTGTCTTGCCCCCCCCCGGTCCGTGCCGCACCATGAGCAGAGCGAAGCCGCGAGCAGAGCGGTCATTCACATGCTCCGCGCTCAGCCAGCTGTCTTAAAACTAAAACCCGGCTCACTTCGGCCCGGCGCGTCGGGCCCGGCCCCCGGCCCCGGGACCAGTCGCGGCGGGAGAGGGAGGGAGGGGACGGCCAAGGGCACCTTGGGCGCCTTCCCGCCCCAACCCCTCCAGCCGCCAGCATCCTGACCCCCTCCTTCCTCCAGGATCTTCTTCACTTCACCCCGCGGGCTTACCTCCAGCCAGGATAGCCAGCTGGTCAGGCCTGCGCCTGGTAGGCAGGCAACTAATTTGGCACGGGGGGGG